GGGCGACCACCAGAAAAGTTTCCGACTGCTGACTCCTTGATAAAATCTAGGCTACTATTTGACTACAACCAATATATGTTTAGGTTGCCCTTAACTGGCCGGTATAGTTTCACCCTTAGAAACGTTTCCAAACTTTTGGCTTGCTTTGACCCCGACTACCTCAGCAATTAGACAATTGAAAATTTGAGTTTATCTGACACCGTAAGAATACCCAAGTTTAACAAAAAACATTCCTAAATTTTTTTAAGCTCAATTCGGTGAGGAATTTTGACTTTCGTGGATATGGGGGAATTAAGTTTGGCAACAACCACTACGCAAAAAGAAGTCCTAAAATTCTGCAGTTTACATCAAAATCTAGATAATTTAGTAGCGGAGGCCATATGTTTAACCAAGAAGCCATCCAAGAAGCTATCTAAAAAGATTTTGGCCCTGGTTTGCTCTGTATAATTTTATTAATGCGTTGGGGGGCTTTTTGGTTAAACATATACCCTCCGCTACTAATTTGTCTAGATTTTGATATAAACTGCAGAATTTTAGGACTTCTTTTTGCGTAGTGGTTGTTACCAAACTTAACTCTCTCTTATTCACGAAAGTCAACATTCTTTACCGAATTGAGTTCAAAAAAATTTTAGAATATAATTTTGTGTGAAACTTGAGTATTTTTACACTGTGAGAAAAATTTAAGTGATTTTTCAACTGCTTAATTGCTAAGGTAGTGAGGGTCAAAACTAGCCAAAAATTTGAAAACGCTTCTAAGGGTGAAACTATACCGGTCCCTTAAGTTCGGGTTGGGAGCATAAGCTGACAGATGTTGATTGCGAAAATCTTCGCTTTAGCTAATGGAAATCGGTGCTTCGCAGCATTTGGGCAAATTCAAGCATTCATGAAGCGATTAAATTTGACATTTTCTGTTACTGGGTAAGTAAGTGATTATACATATTTAAAATTAATGTATTTATTTCCGTTTTTTATCTCATAATGAAAAAATATTCGTATCACGAAGGACGAGAAAAGGATTGCTCTTTATGGTTTGAAACCGCCCGTCTGTCATCCTTCCATCCTTATGTATATGCCCGACAACTTTTGAGCTGACGCGAATTTCTACGTAGGGTTTTCACTAACGTGTGCCTGAAGCCCACTAATAGGATAATATCGAAGATGGACCTTTTAGGTCACCAAAAGGGGTTTGCAATTTTCTTGCGAGGTAGTGGGTTATATCAAGTGTTTTTGGAAAGACCTTTCAGATAATGTATAACGCTTGGGGTTCGTTGCCCCCAATGATCTAAAAGTCAATAATGAATTTTCTTGTGTAGGGAGTCTACGGATATGCCAAGAAATCAATCCACAAATTAATCGAAATATACAAAAACATGCATTCCTTTATATATGTTTTTGTAGACTTCAATTGCACGCTCACGGTCACGATTTTAGCCTCCAAACCTTTCCTGGGCCAACAATTTCTGTGAGCGCCAAAAAAATCGTGAACGGTCCTACGATAACTAATTTTTTTCATAAGCCTTTGCCGCTTTTAATAAAAAATATTGGAATGTCCAAAAAAGTTATGTAACATGTTTTAGACGTTACCTCTCATTTAAAATTTTTAAAATTCTGACCTTTGACATGTCGGCGACCTTAGAGATCGGAATGATACGCCACGTTTGTGCAACTGCGTGCAGAGCTTCGAAGCACTAATCCTAAGTGCACGAGATCATATTAAATTACAAATACGTAAATAACGGAAACTTTTCGGGACCAGCTGTATGATACAATACGTTTTGTATGTTTTTTTAGTAACCAGTCTAACCGTCGTTCAGAGCTTGGCCTTGCACAATTCATGTGGAAATTTACACCCGGGCTGAGAATTCACCTCGAAGAAACTCTTGACTATAGTATTCTATATTGCCAAAAAAATCCAATTTTCTTATCTTTGAAGATTTCGCGATTTTTCACTATAATTGACACCTGGTCTTGGATGGGATACATATCCGTCTCGTTGTTCTTAGGATTCGCTAAGCTAGGCGGCTATTCAGATATTTCCCGGACATTCCTCAGGGTATCAGTACTCAACAGGTAAGATACAAAAAAGTAAAAACCGACGATTTTTTGTCACGCAACTTTTGTATTGCTGACAAGGGAAGGTCTTCGACTGCTCCGCGAGTTCATGGTACCCACTATGTTTTTTAGAATCTACTAGGACCCCAAATGAAGGATCCACTCATATTTACATGCAAAACTCATATTTGGCGCCGTGGCGTGGCGCCAAACTTAAAAATCAGAATTTGCAACCAATTTCAAGCCTCCATAACTTTTGCAGTTACGGTGGGATTCCCAAAATCTTGGGTTTAAAATGATCACAAAATCCGAAATTTCAAGAAAAAAATCAAGAATTAAAAAAATTTAATTTCTGAAATATTTTTTGTTTGAAAGTTTTTTCAGAGAACCCCTGTGTTTAAGAAAATTCGGAATTTGTGCAAAAGTTTGAAAATTTCAGTTTTTTTAAACTTCATGGAAGTCGAAAGTTGAACCCTTTGTGATGATTTTGGTCAAAAAATTTTCAAAATCCGACTTGGATTTCAAAAGTTATGGTGGTTTTAAGAATAAAAATATTCAAATTTCGCCAATATGCACCACACCATGGCGCCAAATTTGAGTTTTGCACGTTAATATGCTTCATTTGGAGTCCTACATAGTAGAACCTAAAAGACATAGTGGGTACCCTGAACTCGGGGTGCAGTAGAGGACCTTCCCTTTTGAGTCTAATATAAATTGCTATAAAACGTATCTATCAGAGCGAAACTTTCAATTCGATCGAAATTCGAAATGAAATACTGTCAAATCGAAATGTGGAGCTGTTTCGCTTGGACGAAACTAAATTCAATTAGTTTGTTTCAAATTTTGACGAAACGAACCGAAATACTTCGAAAACTCCTTTAGGGATAGTGCGTAAATATTTATGTGCATCAATAAAATGTGCATAAATATAGACGTCAAATATATACGCCAAGCAGTTGCTTGGCGTATATGGGTCATTAACAACTGATGTTTTCTTTATGGGGGTCATTGACACATAATATTTTCCTCGAATTTCCACGAATTTTTTTTAACGTTGGTAAGGTATTTTTTAACGGTGTTAAGCAACTTTTTTACACGTTAACAAGGAATTTTTTTAACGTTGCCAAGGAATTTTGCAAGCAAAATTATAACCAATGTTGGAACAGAAGTTGTAACAAATGTTTTAGCAATTGTTGTAAATGAGGTTGTAGGTGAAATGGTAATCATATCGGTGCGATTGGCCTGATACGGACAGTCGGTAACCAATTAGAATTCAGGAATGTCATGGAAAATTTCACGGGACGGACTTTTCGAAATTATAATGTAGATGGGCAACCGCTTGAAATACAAGCAGTAAGCACCACTAGTGGCCGACCCTTATAAGCAAAAAATCAGTTGCTAGTGAACCCCATAAGGCAAGCAACAGTTGGTAATGACCCCTAAAGTTGTAAAGTCATTCATGGAAGGGATTTTCGAAATATTTAGTTTCGCGGCGTCGAAATTCTAAATTCCCTGGTATTTAGTTTCAATTCGTTTCCGAACGTTTGAAATTTAGTTTCGAAAAGTCGACTCGAAATCTCACTAGGTTAAAAACGAAACGAAATTGCCTGATTTCGGTTGGATTTCGTTTCGATGTGAGCGCTGGTATCTATCAACTAATAATGCATCTCAATTTCGCTCGTACTATTCCAGGAGATCCCTCACATCCTTTGGAGTGCTCTGTATTGTGACAATTGTTGCCCTTAGTTCATCCTATGATGCAATTATTACAACCGACATAATCGCACCTCCTGAGAAATATGTCGTCACAAACATCCATGAGCTGTTGACCAAATTTGGCTATAAATTATACTCAGGCTCGGACATAGTCAAAAATTGGACTCGCTTTAAGCTATCGAATCGAAAGGATTTCGCACATCGTGATAATCCTAATGTTTATATTTGGGACCGAAGTATGGCAAGTAGATCTATTTGATGTTCTTATAGATTAATTAATTTCTGTACTGTTTTTAGAACTTTCTGTGAGCGCAAACTTTTATGGTACTATAGCTAACTCGGCGGATCAGATAGGTTTTCTAGTGGCAGCTCCTCATCTGACAGGAATGCTATATCATCTAAACAGGAACTCTGTTAACGTTACTTGTAATATTTTGAAAAGAGAATTGTTCAACTGGAATATTTTTTGGGATTTTAAATATTTTGGGTCGGAAGGATTATACCGCACTTTACAAGGGATGAGTTCGATTGGACTTTACCAACTATATGTAAGGTTGTGGAAATTTACCACCGATCGTGGTGTTAGAAATCAAACTGCTCTGATGCCTAAGGATAATTTGGGTTTGGAGAATCTTCTAGTTGGCTTTCAACTATACTTTCTGTTTGGCTTGGTTGCAGTTTTGAGTTTCTTTCATGAAATCATCTCTCACAAGTTTAACATCGACCGTAAGATTACATTTACGCTGTTGAAATTAAAACATCAATTTTATAAGGTGGGTGGTATGAGTTGCACTGTTTTGTTTAAACTGCAAAATATGTGTCACGGAGCCATCATGAAGTTCAGGAAATTAATTAATATGTTAAATTATATGTTTCATGATTACCTACAATGTTAAGTTGGTTAAGTGGCAAGCAACGCGGTACACAATATGCAGAGCTTCTAAATATAATATCAATATACTGCTTGTAGTTGAGTTACATAAGTAGGTATGTCAAAATGTAACGTAGCATAATATGTGAACCCCGTCGATTTTTAGAGCGTTTTGCATTTAAAAGCGCGAATTTGATGTTTTCCCCTTCAGGTTGACTCTGTCTGCTATTTTTAAAAATACATGCTTGGTAAAACTGCGCAGATGCAACCTACATAATCACTAATATTTCAGATGGTACAATATGATTTGTGAATCCTTTTTTCATGGTTTACTCTGTAGGGAAATTCTAATATTGGGATTTCAGATATATTGAAAACGTCAGTAAAATATGTGATACATCAGAATCTGGCTCACGAATTTATAATGTATTAATTCAAAGTTTAGTTAATACCTATAAATACCAGCTAAGCAATGTCTTTTCTTATTAGTAATATTTTCGAGTTTTAATTTTGTATGTAAGGTTACAACGTTTTAAAATTAAATATAAATAATTTAAATAATTTAAATCATCTCTTTTTTATCTTGAGAGGAATGTGGAATAATTTACCCAATTTTTGGCTTCTTCAGACTTGAAATTTCGAGCTCGAACCTAGCCGAGCCAAGAAAATTTCTGGGCTAATTAAGTGTCGAGGCCAGCCAAGCTTAAGGTCCCTCAGGTCGGCTTATGAAGAGCAATATTGGATTCGTCCTGATGATCTCCAAGCTGAACACAATTTCCTCTTGATTAAATACCCTTAGCATTAAGCTTACAAGGGAAAATAAATTTTGCATAAAACCTTCACCGTGTCGTCTTCAGATGGGTAAGGAACTCAAGACTAGTATTTTATAATAAGTCTCTTGTCGAAGCTGGAATTCAAGGTCGCATAGGGCAAGAAATTGCAAGTCGAGCAAATTTGTTTCGAGATCCTGTGGTCCGAGAATCTGTGAAGAACTTCAAAGAAGTAAAATCAGGCGATTCTATCCAATTAGACGGAGCGTTTTCAACTTTCCTCATAGTTTGGAGTGTTGCAGTAGCGATTAGTTTGCCTGCATTTGTGTCCGAAACCGTATTCACATCAGTTTACAGTTCGTATCGCGTATTTTAAGTGTATTAAAAGATATACTGGATTTAGCACAAAATATGTTTATAGCAAACAAAAACGAAGATATTATTAAGAATAGGAACCTTATGCGGATTATGTACATACGTATTAAAAACATTATTATTATTATTATTATTATTATTATTACGTAATATTGATTATGTACGTATTAATACATAGTTTACTCAATTGGGAACTTAGAATAGAACTTTTTTCACCTTCAAGAAATACGCGTCGATTTAGTTTTGTATGTATCCAAAATTTTGTTTTAATCTGATCGAAACCGGAGAAAATTACTTGATGCATAGACATTGCTAGTATACATACATAGTTTTAAAGGTTTGACACTGGAAGTTGAAATTTGATGAAAGTTTTGGTTTCGCGCCAAAATCTAATAAATTTTATAAGTTTTATAAGTATGTACGTGTCTCGGAATATCAAATATCATGCACAATTGGAAATATGGCCCATCACGCTCCCGACGTTTGTATAAACTCCTGTATAACCTGGAATGGTTAAAAATTATTGTTTCGTAGAAACAGAAGATAACAATAAAATAACTAACAATGCAATAGTGTCCTGTGCAACGTTCGGATTTTTATTGAAATCGCGTAGTTCAGGCCAATACAGTCAACGGCTTTTGGGAAAGTACGAGCGGTGGTCTTAATTTATCAAAATGTTTTAAGCCAAAATGGAAAAATGGCTTATTTTTGTATAGAACTTTGCAAAAACATCGAATTTGGCTGGTAAACATCTGCCAAATTTTTACTACGTGTATTTAGGAATTTAATATACTTTAACAAGCACCAACTATCGACAAATTGCCTCAAGAAATGTTGATTATATTGACTTTAATTTTAAAATTCAAAATTTCCCCAAAATCCGAGCGTATCACGTCACGCGAATGCATTGTAAGTATAGCAACGTACCTGGACGAGCACACATCGAGCCCCAACCTTCAATACCGACTTGAACAGATCCGCACACCAGAGGCCCACCCGCATCACCCTAATAATTGTACGTCAAATATATACATACACAGTTTTGTCGTTTAGTTTTTTTGCTTTTTGTCTCAGTTTACCCACAAAACCCCGACTACCCGCTTAACCCAGCTAAAACCCTGGGTATGGTCCCCGAGCTTTTCCTTACCCTGGCGTTACCATACTACCCCTGAAGGTAATACCTTATGTTACCACAGAGGCGATAACACGCGGAGATATTTCCATCCAAAGCAGAAATAAATACGCAGTAAATTTGAACAATCCAAAATTTGCGGGTGCGTTTTCTCCTATTTTCATGCAAATATCTATTTCCCCTAAACTTCACCACTGGCAGATAGTATCTGCCAGATACATACATAGTTCCATTTGTCAATTTCATTCTAATTATATTTTTGATCGATTGACACCAGTTTGGTCCACATCTGTGACTTCAGTGTCACACTCTCAAACCCACTCACATAACAAGCCCCCTTCCCTCCCTGCGTGGATCCGGCACACTGCATCCTGTCGGTGATAGCATTTTGGCCGTATACTGCTTTGCAATCCGCCTCACTGACTATGGGAACTTCGACAACATGCAGTTGATCAGCCCAGTAACCATCCTGGGAAAGCATGCCTGAAAGTAAAATAATCTTACAAGGAGTAGCATTTATCACGTGCGTTGGATTTATGTACATGTTTGAAGAATAGTAAAATAAATGGTGGCGATTCTTACAAGCACCACACAAAAAAGCAAGACTTTCAAATCATCGCTTGGAAAAGTAATACAATGTTTGAGGGTCTAATTTATAGTGCCCAACCAAAATTTTCTTTCTTCCAACCAAAATAAATCATTTTCGCAAACATTGAAATTTGCAACGCATCGAATTTTTGCGGTTACATATTTCAAGTTTGCGAAAATTGTTGCTTTTGGTTGGAAGAATAAAAAAATTGGTTGGGTGGTTATACTGGCACCCAATGTTTGAATTCGATTTATAAGTTAAATTTCTATGGTTTTAATAATTTAAATTCAAATAATTTAAATTTCGAAACGTTCTGGAAATCAGGGGTTTTGTCTTTGAAAACTTTCCGTAAATTTTGCCCCTGAATGGGGCAAAAAATGGAAAAACATTCAAGCACAAGGTTCACAGGAAAGCGCCCTTGTTTTTGTCCAGTTGAGTAAAAATCAAGCGAGAACTTAAATACGCAATAATTCCAAAAGTTGAATATTTGTATTAGCGTGAATTCAAACGTTCGAAAACATGTTCCTTATTTCCTTAGAAAAATCTATCAGGTGAAAGGTGTGCTACTTGAAAAAAGTCACCATCACCGAGGTTGGTAAATAAGTACCCCAGCCGGTAACGTGGCAAACCGATCCGACCGCTGGTCTCGAACCGGGCTGAGCAAGATTGATGTACTGGACATCGTGACCCAAAGTGAAGCTTGAACTTAGCTGAAAATGATTAAAATTCGTGTAATCATTAAAATGAACGTGACCAAGGGAAAATGAAAAAAGAACAAGTAGGACTGTTCAAAGATGCTCGTGAGGCATGAAAATTATCAGAAATTCATCTAGATTAAATCAACTCTTAAGTTCGACCTGGTTAGCAGTTTTTCATAAAAGCTTTCGGGTAGTACACATAGGTGGTAACGATAGCCACCCGTTTTTGTCCCGGAGCATTTATCTTTTTCCATTCTTGGCCAACAATCGGGTTTGACGCAGCAAAACTTAAATGTACGATTTTCCACCCGATCCCGAAATGTCCTGGCTGATTGTTTGCGATTAACCTTCGAATTCTACCACGTTTTTCGTCTTCTCGCGAAGTTTGGAGTACGTTCTTTTGCACAAGGCTCAAATAATTTCGATTTCTCGCAAATAGTGACGCTTAAAGGGTTTTTAGTTTTAAGGCCACTTAGCTTAATGTAAGCCTTACTTGGAATTTTACAGGGAATTTGGACTTCATGTATGTACAACTCTTGTTGATAATATACATTCACTCGGTTGCCTGATTGAAAAAATATGCTTTTTAAAGTCTTCACGGGATCAGGGTCGACGTACATAGGCTCGTCACAAACGATGATAATTTTTCAAGACATTTGTCGAGCCGACAAATGCCAGTGCGAAAAAGTTGCAACCGCAAATGAGTGCAAAAAATGCAAATGAGTGCAAAAAAGTTGCATAAAAACGAGCCGTTTTTTCAAACTTTTTTGCACTCACGGCTTCCGCTTTTTCGTGGGTGGCTATGACGAGTGATGGTATCAAGTGTGTCTTATATAATTTCACTTTTTGTAATCCTAATAAGTCGAAGTATAACAATAGATTTGTGTATCCGATTGAAGGACTGCCACGTTGTGTTTGATTTACGAAAAGCGACGACTTTATTATTGTGAAAAACTCGATTCACTAGGTTTTCAGTTTCAAACGGATTGCAACTAAACTTCGCAATTTTAATAAAAAATCGATTTACACCAGCTCCTTGCCCATGCAATTATGTCCCGAAAAATAAAATTCATAAATGACAATCTCCACTAACCGCGCGGTATACCTTAAGCTCCCACAGTCTAACTTAAGAGTGGATGTATGTATGTACCTTCTAAGTATGTATGTAAATATTACCTTAATTTCACACTTACGAGCAGGACAGCAACGTCATAGTCATAGTTACTCGGATTATACCGGGGATCTTTACATATCTTCTCAACCCAAACCTCTTGCCCACCATGTGTGCGCATCAAAGATCCCGCCCGCACGGTCAGTTGGCTGGCAGGGTTCCGGTTGATCATGGAGCTTCAGATCAGAAAAATCAAGAATTTTTAATACGAACAAGTTCTTAAAGCACCTGGCACAAGTTCCATAAAATATTTTTCATCGGGTTTTGATAAGATATATGCAGATCTTTAGTAGTAGAAGGATAGGGCGAAATCGACATGCGTGATATTATCTAAAAAAACTATTTCGGCCAAGAATTTACACCCAGGTCGGGCAAATCCAATCGTAGAATTTTAAAATCCGATAGAGAGGTGCTGCTTGTTTTTTGACTCTGGATTTCCAGTGGGTGTGGACAAGTTTCAAAAATGTGAAAATACCTATATATTTCCAAAATTTTGATAATCGGTAAAGAACTTACGGTGCAATTAATTTCGAAACATTACATATTGTTAGTTATGGCAAGGGCAGCCATTGAGCCATTCAGCCTTTTAGTATTCCGGTGCTCAATACTTTCTATTTAGATGCACCGTAAATATTTAGGGTGGAAGGTCAAGGGGTCCCACTGGGCTAGTATTAGTGGATAGGTCTTTGCGAGAGAATTCCAAATATGTACATATATGTTTTCTGGGTGGACGACCAATAACTAGTTTTCTAAAGCCCAAAGACAAACGACTTGCAAAATTAAGTCTAGTACTCAGGACGGATTTTCTTCCGAAGCGACAGGTCCACCGATTAGTATTGCGTCACTTTTTCATAAAAAGAAAAATAGTTTCAATCCATTTTTCGATCTACTTACATAAATGTAAGCAGATCGAAGATTATGCATAATCACCAGTTGTGAGGGGTTTCTAAATTATAACATTGCGAAATATAATTTTTTTCTACGTTGTTGAAATTAAAAATGAGATACATTTATGTTGATGTAGCCATCAGGGATAAAACTAATTCACTGCAACTGCTTTAGGTTGTGCCAAATACGAGTTATTCTTTGAATCAGTGGCAAAATGCTGCTCTAGTTTGTAGTCCCCGTTTCAGATGAGCTTGTTTGCGCGAAAAATCCCCCCTACGTACTAGTCTTTATCTTTCGATCTACAGCAGTACTTAATTCTGGAGAAGGGAAGATTCTCATTCTACTTTCGACCCGATCACGCAAGCCGATTTTAATTTTAATGGTGACTTGAATATTTTTTCCTTACTAATTGTAAAATCTACAAAATATTAAGAAACGGGGGAAAAATTTTGAAGAGAGATTCAGCCATCTTGTAAGTCTTTGCTCCAAGTTATTTTCTTACGCCGTGGTCAGAACGTGTCTGTCCGATATGAGTGACCCTGCACCAATAAAAGTCCTATACCCGTTAATGGAAACTTGGTATGGAAACTCTCCAATGATCGCTGGACGTCCGCCAACAATTCGGAAATCGTTTTCCTTTTCGACGTCTTTGATTGTCGTGTTTGCAAGGTGACCTGGAAAAAATACAAATTCAAACTTCCCATCGAGCAGCCAACAGAGCTATTAAACATGTTGATATAACAATATTGTTGAGTATATTTTCAATTTAGCCCTGTAGCGAATATGATTTTCACGAAACTGTTCAAAAAAACTTTTTTCATTCAGTTTCATTCATTTTCATTCAGTCATTTTCTTTAATATTCATTTCATTTCATTTCATCCAACTTCATTTCTTACTTATCCCCATGTATTAAGCATACTTAAGGTCGAAAATGAAAGGAATGTGAAAACTTTATTCACAGTCATTCATCTGAAATGACTAAATCTTTCACTCATTTTCATTCAAATCACTCGAAATTCATTGTCATGTACTATCATTCTCAATCATAATCAATCACATGAATGAAAGTGAACAGGTTTGGATATGATTTAACCTCTCAGCATTAACAATAGAAGTTACTTTTGAACACTTAATTTGAATGGAAAATAAGAAACTTATATAAGTAATATTTGCAATTCATTTTTAGAAACAAGTCTAATTTATGTAATAGAAATCAAGGAATTTATGCATGCTTTCGCGTGAAAAATCCGTCCTGAGTGCTAGGCTTTATAAAAAAGTTTTCCTTATTACCTTACCTGTCACATTTTTCAGGTTTATGACCAAAGCGATGATAATTGGGAGAAGGCGTTGAAATAATTTCATTGCGAAACTATTACCGTGTATGTGAAAATTCTGAGATTATCTAATTATTGTTTAATAGTTCCGTGTATGACCTTCCCAATGGAGGAATAATGATTAACTAGTAGAAAACAGAGCGGGACGAGTATTTAAGTGGTCAGGTACAACATTGTTTCAAATTATTGAAGCAGACTGGCTCAGGGAATGGGAAACAATGGTCAATTATAATTATTTGTTTGCAAACTAAATTTATGTATGCGGGACAGGTGCAGCAGGACAAAAGCTTCGGGATGACTCAAATTCAGCAGACTTTGAGGTCAATCATTTGTGGAATAAACCATTGCAAACGAAATGTCGCCAAGGGGTGAAAACACACGGAATTGTCTTGTGGCACGCCCACAACGTCTTTCTGCACTTTCCCGTCATTATCTCACATCATCCCATGTCTCGTTTTGACACCACCACCCGCGTACTTCGAACGTACACGAAAATACCTTTCAATCGACATCTCACATGACAAAAGTCATTTTTCGACATTCGACACGGTCAAGGAGTCTTCGCACGTCTGGCGATTTCTGGAATCCCCGTCCAGAAGTACGTCTACAACGGTGGAGACAAAAAATTCGACACCTTGGACCTTTGACCGTTGGCGTCATCACCGTGGCGCCGTGACCTTATGACCTACAACGCCCATCTTCGAACTCAACCCGTCCCCACAAAGTAGAAACACGTTGGCGAAAACCGGATGTCGAAATTAGAATCCGTTCTATGTAAAATCGTGGACGCGGACGGACGGACAGACAGACAAGACATTTTCATAAAGGGGTTTTCACCCCTTAATAAGTAACTCGTGGAAGAATATTTATGACTAAATGGGACAAAGCTGCCGTGCACTCTGGTACACGTAGATATTTATTAAACTATGCAATTAATGCATTTCTTGCATAAATCTTTGTGAAATATATCCTAAATAATATGCAGGTTGGCTGCATACAAAATTTGTTTTAACATTATTTCGCAGTCTTAAATGCATGCACAAATCCAGAAATTGTTCCTACATTGTTTTCAGAAACAAAGATGAATTGACCTCATCTAATGAAAATATCTCGATTCAAAATCCAAACGATTCATAATTTTTAACCTCTACAGTACCATTTCAAAATAGAAGTAACATCCTTCCACAAACCTAATTGACAAAAGTACATTTTTTTTAGTTTAGTATTTTACTAACTAGGGACCGTGGGCAAATTACGCAACGTAAAAATCACGATGTTCTAGACCTTCCCATTTAACATGTCACATAAGCAGGGTAAGGGAAACCCTGGAGTTTTGCTCTTTAAATTCCATACGTACGGGTTTTACTTGGGTTTTTGGGGTAGTCAGGGTTTTGAGGGCAAGATGAGTCAGCACCTAATGGTATTACGTTATGAAACAATCAATTTTTGCAACACTTCGCAACAAACTAATTTATTAATTAAATTTTAAAAACTAATTAATTTATAGACTATTGAGCAACGTGTTTCTATAATATATTTTGGACTTTCTTAGAATTGAAAACCCCGACTACCCCGACCAAAACTCACACAACCCAAATACTCCAAAAACCTGGGGTAGCATACTCTGCACATAATCACTACATATGTAATTCATGCTTTGGGCCCTCCCACCACCCGATTGGGTTACGTAATTTGTGGACGGCTCCCAAAGAAAAATAGATCATACCAACTGGTCTCTAACAGATTGAAAAGAGCGATAAATATGCCAACATGCACAGATGTCATAAATAAATATGTTGAAATCTAATAACACCCAACATCAAAAGTGATACGGAAATGTGTCTAAATAAGTAATAAGCTCTGGCCAGCTTTCTAATTTGGAATTTCACATTGTAAATACATACGTGCAGTATTTAATAAATTCGGAGATAATACGGATACATATTCCAATATCAGACTCACACCTACCAAAGTAAGCTGTGCATGATAAAAGCTTTTAAGAAATTGTTTTTTAACATTTATATAGTTTCGCCCATGGAATGGTCATAAATAAGTCATATACATATACATATTTCTGATAGGAATTAATTTCAAACATATCGGGAAATAAATAATTAATCGGGTCTCACAGAAAAACTAAACATTAAAAAAACTAAACAGAATAGACCAATTCTTCTCTTGCTACATACATACGTTTTTTTCGCAGTGCAAACCTTAAAACTTGTAATAATGTTCACCAAAACAGCATTTCTCATATACCTTATTGTCATGGCAAAATCAGATATGAATTCCATATCCCTTGCCCACACCCAAATAGCCAACCTATTGAAAAATATAGTAAATTGTGATTTGCAAATTGTTCACGATGGGTCGGATTTTGAAAATTTCAATATTCCTGTAAAAGTTATATGGGTCCCAAACAGGGCCCGGGCTAGGCACATTTGCGCCCTAGGCAAGATTTTTTTGCGCCCCTACCTTTCCGTTTATTCCGAAGGTTTGAAAATTCCCCGGTTAACAAGCGGGTATTACCATAAATTTCAGGGGAACATTAAACATACGTAAGACATTTAGGTATTATGTTGTGATAAAACTTATCTCAGAGCTAGGAAAATCCTGACTAAAATGATCAAGATTAAGATTGAGATTAATTACTATTAATCTATAATCTTAATCAAGACGTTTGATCTTGTTATTCAATAATTTTAATCTCGATCTCGCATGTCAAGTTAATTTAATTTTTAATCTTCAAATCTTTTAATTTGATTTTAATCACACACTAAAAAAATTCACCAAAATTTACTCAAGGTTGAACAAAATTGCCACCAATGCAACAAGTTGGATAAACGTTCCTCAAAATCGAATAAAATTTGTCAACTTTTGCTTATTAGTCGTGCAATCCCGGGCGAATTGTGCCCAACAATTGGTGGCAATTTTACACAACTTTGTTTAAATACAGTGAATGGTTAAAATAATGACGCTATGATATCTGTTACTCTATTCCCCCTAAATCTGTGAATTTCAAGGAGTCTTGACTTTCCCTTCAAAAAAATTAAAACAAATTTAAATTTCCGAAGACTTTCTTTAATTTTGAAAGGAACCTTAATTAAAATTGTATTCGATCAAAATATTAAAAAAATGTATTGCCATTAAAAAATAATAACTTACATAATTTAAAAAATTTGCAGTTATTATTTTTTTTAATTTAAAAACGCTTTGAATTTGAAGTGGGACTGATTTTTGACACATTTTATTCGTATTTAGAACTTGATTTAAGTATCCGCCTTAATTTACGAAATACAATTTTGAAAATTTTGAACAGTGTTGAAACGCTGAAGCTTCTCGCCTCCACTCATATTCTTCTCAAATGTTAAAATTTGTGATATGAAGTCAATTTAAACTATAAAAATGGGAAAATTGAATCATTTTAAATTAATATTATTAATCTAGATTAATTAATATATAATATTTAATCGGGGTCATCAAAATGGATTAATTAATCATACCAAGAGTTCACAGTTGGGCTGTGTGTGTGTGTCTGCTTTTTTGACTCCCACACAGAGATTTCTATGGCTCGCTCAACCACATATGAAACTCAAATTTACCCAATTTCGGGCCATTTGAGATTGAGAATGGTGCGGAATTTGAGCATTATTTGCTTTTAGTTAATCTGCACAGTTCAGCCAACTTCTACTATTTTAGAGCCAAAAATAAATAATGGTTTTTTTAAATAACGTTAACAAAGAGCTCCAAGTAGATTATTATTTTTTGTAATGTCATGTTATTTCATAAATAAATTTATTTCATTAAACTAAGAGTAGCATATGTTATGCATTTATTAACAAAAATGGGTTAATCTGCGTCAACCACGTCATCATGAGCTTGACTTTCAACTCCCCGAGTCGTCTCTGCACGTTACTTAACTTGATGTCCTTGACCTTGGCCGCCCTTGGCTTGAATGTCATCCCCAAATCCAACGGCAGTATTGCCGACTGGCCGCTCTACACCTGAGGAAGCTTGATTATTAGATTGAGATGCTACCTAGAAATTTCAAACAAATTTATTGCTTAAATTATTTTGACTTTCAGTATATTTTTAAATGGAAGCTCACCTGCTGGCCCTGAATTTCGCTCAACATCCTCTTAAGTCGTTTGACCTCCTCTGATTCTTTTTCCAACTTCCCTTTCAATTCTCTTTCGGTAGCTTTTCGAATTTCCTCAAACGCTTCTTCATTTCTCCACTGGCAGAGGCAACAAAAGAAGTGGGTTTCTAAAATTCGAAGTGAAAGAATTATGTTTGCTTTACCTTATTATTTTAAATTATTGCCACTAACTATGAACAAAAACGTCACAACACGGACATCTACCCCATCCTGATTCAGGATTAAATCCTGCCCTTAGTGGCACGACTTGGCCGCATGCAGTGTTTGGACAGGTCCCTGAAAATAAGATTACGAAATATTAGCAACAATATTATTCGTATTATAAAGTAAATTTATTCGTTCAAAAATACCTGTTTTTACAATTGTCTTCTCGGCGTTTTGGCCGGCAATTACTTCACCACACCATGAACAGTATCTGTCATGACGCCCGTATAAAATTGGGAGATGCATAGAAAATCTGGCAAGATTTTTTCGCCTAAAATTCATTCCTAAAATAAATACAAAGCTATTATTAATTTGCAAGTAATACAAAAACCTCTACCTTCGAATTCGATGCATCAGGATGGGGGTGGTCCACGTGACGTTAAGAAATTCAGAAATAAATTTATTTTAAAAATAAGTTAGGAAGCGTCACAAGACGAGCAAACTGTGAATGCGACAGAGGGGGAGAGAAAAACATGTGGTAGTTGAAATTCGTACAGTAAGTAGTTCGGCTAAATATTATAGGTGGCGCCGGTGCTGGACAAATCCAAATGCAACCAACATCTGCATCAATATTTGTGGTGAAATATGAGACAACGTCTCTTCACTATTAGACTTCGAGACTTCATTTCACGCACAGGAAGTAGGGGCCTCTATCATTAACGCCCAGATTTTGATTTCTTTGGGTGTATTGCCATGTGCTAACGTGATTTTATTCCACAGCACATTTGCGGCTGCCA